GAAGTTTCCATCTGTCATATGTTCATTGTCCTTGACCTCATTTTCATGGTTCAGTGACTACTTGAAAAAAAAGTTAAGATTTTTTGTAATGTTTATTTCTCTCGTATTATGAGTAATAGGATAACTATATTTGGTATGTGCGTACATTACAAGGTCCTCATGTCTGTCAGACAGTTTTCACTTGACCTTGACCTCATTTCATGGATCAGTGAACAAGGTTAAGTTTTCGTGGTCAAGTTCATATCTCAGATACTATAAACAGTAGGTCTACTATATTTGGTGTATGGAATGATTGCAAGGTGTAAATGTCCAACTGGTAGGTGTTAACTGACCTTGACTTCATTTTCATGGTTCAGTGGTTAAAGTTAAGTGTTTGTTTTTTGGTCTGTTTTTTCTAAGTATTTATGCAATAGGTCAATTAAATTTGGTGTATGGAAATATTTTACGATGTACATGTCAGTCTGGTAGGTTTTATTTAACCTTGACCTCATTTTAACGGTTCATTGCTTAATGTTGATTTTTTATGTTTTGGTCTGCTGTTCTTCAACTATAAGCTATAGGTCAACTATATTTGGTGTATGGAATGATTGTAAAGTGTACACATTGTATGTCTGTGTGGCATTTATCATCTGACCTTGACCTCATTTTCATGGATCATTGGTCATTGTTAAATTTTCCTGGCTAAGTTTGTTTCTTTGATACAATATGCAATAGGTCAACTATATATTTGAAGCATTGAATCTTTGTAAGGTGTACATGTCTGTCTGGCAGGATTCATCTGACCTTGACCTCATTTTTATGGTTCATTGGTCAATATAAAGTTTTCATGGTTTGGTCTGTTTCTTGTATACTATAAGCAATATGTCAACTATATTTGGTGAATAGAATAGTTCTAAGGTGTACATGTATTTCTGGCTTGATATATCTGACCTTGGCCTCATTTTCTTTGATCATATTAAGTTCATATGATTTTTGTAGTTAAACTTTATATTTAGGACATAAAAACAATGATCAGTAAAGTAGGCAAGACATTTCAGTGTATGCACTCTTGTTTCAATTGTGATCTTTCCATTTCTGTGCGGCAATATTTCAGCAGCAAGCAGCTGCATATGGAGTATATATCTCCATTTTGTTAAGATATTCCAGAGCTTGCGTTATCTATTATGATTTCCTGGATAAATTGTGTTGCAATAGTAGCAATATACCAACTTCACCTGCGTATGGGATATACATTTCCCAACTCATTCGGTATTCAAGAGCTTGCAGCTGCTAGTCAGACTTTATAAAACGTCACCAGTGTTTGAGCAGAAAATTTAAGGAATAAGGGTTATGTCATAGAACGTCTCGTCCTTTCTTCTAAAAAAGTTCATCGAAAGATACCAAGACCTTGTTGATAAATATTCAACTTCACAAATAATACATGATGGTCTTGAAGTATAGATTATAGGTACTGACGTTGTTTATCACCTTAATTACGTGTTATAGTGTTCTTGTTTTGTCTTTGTAAATTATTACCCTTACTGTTTAGTCCATTTTTTGGTAATATCCCTTTGGCGTGGCTCGGAACTCATACATCCCGTCATTGTGTTATTGTGCAATGGTCAATTTTTGTATTCTTGTCCTTCATTTTTGCCTATGTGCTATGTCTATATGCCATTTTGTTTTTTCTTTGTTGACATATTTGTTTGTTTTTATAGTGATTAAGATTATAACACAACGTTGACTGCTATACTACTATTTTTTTCATTTTTACCTATTATGTCTGTTTGTTTTGTTCACACATTGTTGTCAATATAATGGAATTTTATGCCACTGTCATACAAGTGAGAGGTATAGCTAGCTATAAAACCAGGTTTAATCCACCTTTTTCTATATAAGGAAATGCCTGTACCAAGGCTGGAATATGACAGTTGTTTAATTTCCATTCGTTTTATGTGTTTGAGCTTTTGATTTTGCCATTTGATAAGGGACTTTCCGTTTTGAATTTTCCTTGCAGTTCGGTATTTTTGTTATTATACTTTTGCTACTTACACGGACGTTTTTAAACCAAGGTTTTCAAGTGGTGAAGTTGAAGTCAGTCCTTCGAAAATTGATGAACATCATCACGAGTTGTTTGACCGTTATGGAATATCTGTTTCAGAGATGATGACGGAAATGTTCCTATTGTCGTAACTACAATTACTATTTACCTCGAATGTGACATCAGCGAATTACACTTATCACTGAATTTGTACTTACTTGAGCAACACGACAGGTTCTAGGTGTGGAGTAGGATCTACTTACCATACGTGAGAGCACCCCTGGTCCCAGCGGCATAAAACTTTCTGAGTAAATTCATTTTGCTCAGCCTGAAAATTTTCTCAATTTTTTTTATTCTCAGCAAAATACACCGCCATAAAAATATCAATATTTCCTTACTACAGGCACATAAATAATGTGGCGGGGTTTAACATGTTTGTGATCGCTCAACCCTCTCCTAACCTAAATCAGTGGTGTAACAGTACAACATAAGAACAAACTATAAAAATCAGTTGAAAAAGGCTTAACTCATCAGATCGACACAAAGGAGAAAAACATCAAACATAAACACAGACCGGACGTGGCAGAGTATTTATCTATCCCTCATCCTTAACTACAAAAAGGACACTTAGTACAGATCTGAGAGTACTCGCAGTTACTGACAGCTAGTTCAAAGCCAATAAAAACTTATAAAAAAATCATGTATCTAAGACTAAAATATCAACCAGTACACATCCAACATCCAATGAATTTAGTGTGAAGACGTTATTAACAGTCAGAGAAAAACATGACCTAGTGCAATGTCAAAATAAAGGTATCGACAGATTGTAGTACCGTTGAAGTGCATATGTGTATATCATAACTATTTAGTATGATTTTAATTTACTGATAACAAAATCGATTTTTATAATAATAAAAACAATATTCAAAGATCTAACTACAATGTTGAACTGTTAACCTTTTAAAAATACATATATTACGCTCATTGAAATCCAAAACGTCACTACAGACACGGGCATAACGAACAAGTTGGGATATATGAACACCGTAAGATTGTGCCAGAGGAACATCACCGTCTAAAAAAGGAAAATTAACAATAGTGAAAGAAAAATCATACTTTTTGTCGTACATTTTTGTGTAGAGGTTCTGGTGTGAAACTGAAATATCTAAATCTAGGAAAAGACACTTATTGCCGTTAATATTTGATTTATTCAAAGTAAGTTCCTGTGGGTAAATTTCGGCAGTATATTTAGAGAATTCTTGATTATTTAACGAAAACATATCATCAAGATAACTGTAAGTGTTGTTGAATTTAAATGGAATTTAGACGGGTCTTTACTGAGTTTAGCCATAAACTGTGATTCATAAGAGTACAGAAACAAGTCTGCTATTAAAGTGGCACAATTGGTGCTCATAGGAATACCTACAATCTGTCGATAAACTTTATTGTCGAAACGTACATAAATGTTGTCCTCTCATCACACCTCCAGTAAGTATATCTAGCATATTTACCTTTTTCGTTTGAGAAAAAAGCTTTATATGAGTTGAAGCAAATACATTTGCAATTAGATTTATCGAGCGACCATTTAATTAAATAGGAAAACTTTTGTTTGATAAGATTGTGTGGATGTGTAGTGTAAAGAGTAGAAAAGTCAAAACTGATTAGCTTGCTGTCTCTGCAATATCCTTTATATTACGTTTAATGCGATTAAAATAGTCAAAAAACGAAAAAATTCAATGAAAAATACTTGATAGCAAAACGTTAAATTCACCGGTCACTTACTTCCTCCCTCTTTAGAGGTCAATGTAGGACGTCTGCTTAATACGAATAAAGAACAAAATTGAAAAGAAGAACACAATTGGGGGAATCGCATGAACACCAAAAGGAGGAAGAACGATAGCGTTGACATACGACCATTCTGGGAGTTTTTTGACAACTTTCTGCTAAAGCAGAATGTCTGAACAAAGTATATTTTGTTTTAATTAGACTTATCACCAGGTTTGTACTTACATGAGCAACACGACGCCACATGTGTAGCAGGCTGCTTACCCTTCCGAAGCACCCGAGATCAACCTGATTTTTGGTGGGGTTCATGTTGCTCAGTCTTAAGTTTTCTATGTTGTGTTTTGTATACTGTTGCTTGTATTTTAGACTTTTTTTGTGCCATGGCGTTGTCAGTTTATTTTCGACTTATGAGTTTGAATGTCTTTTTGGTATCTTTCGCCGCTCTTTGCCCTTGCCTATATTAAAATTTTTGCTGTATGTTTTTAAGTAAGGATAAATAGGTCAAATATTATAATATTTTCAATAAGGTTATTTTTGTTTGTTTGTTTAATACTGACTCCGTTTAATTCTCCATTAATAACTTACTGTACAGCCTCTTTATGAGACATCTGTCCCCTAGAAACCAAATTACGTAGAAGTTAACAATTATATCTCACCATACGGCCTTCAAAAATTAGCATAACTCATACGACATAGCAGCCATTAAAGGGCACCGAGAACACACATGTAAAACTGACGGCCTTTCTACAAAAATTGGAATCGTATATACACATGTTTTGTTTGATGTCATGATAAATCTTACTTTTAAGAGCCACACTGATTCCAACAACAAATGCACCGGAGATGATATCATCAAAACGCAGATTTGTTTTATTGACAGCATGTTTGTTGAGTTTGGGGAATTGATATGCACAATTTATGAGCTTGTCAATCAATGAAGAACGCATTGCAACATTAGATATTGTGAATTCATTATTATTCGTGGGATGGTGATTTTTGTAGGTTTCCTAGGTACAAGTGAACCACGAATTTTTAAAAATGTTCAACGCAGTACAAACCATCTACAGACTTGTATGCAGACGTTTGTAAAACCGCGAAATTAAATATACACGAAAATACAAATTTTCCCTAATCTACCATCAATATTGGTACCCACGAAAATAAATTATTCATAAAATAATAAATAAATACAAAATACCATGTTGTAAAATTTATTAACAAAATGTGTTTTACCAGCAACTGGTGAAAAAGACAATATCACACTTGCGGCAAAAAATGAACTGATAAGGAAAATACTTTTAAAAATATCTAAGTTCATTTTATCTTGTTTAAAAGAACTTGCCATTGAGAACCCTCAGATGAGGATTTTTTGTTAAAATTTTTTATTTGGTTTTGTAATCACCAAAAATGGACGAATAAACTCATCATAGATACCAGGGTTAAAAATTTGAACGCAAGACGCGCGTTTCGTCTACAATAGAATCATCAGTGACGCTCGAATCAAAAAGTTAAAAAGGCAAAATAAATCACGAAGTTGAAATCGAAGAGCATTGAGGACCCAATATTACTATATAATTTTTCGTGTTTAGCTGTAATCCAAACAAATATGAAGTTAAACGATTTTCTACATATCATACGGTTGATAACAGCACACTTCTCACTAGTGTTCAGTTCAACTTTAATAGGATTGTTTTGAGAAACTAATTGTTTAATGAGGAATCATCGGTATCGTAATTTAAAAAAACAATCTCAAATAAACAGCCTTCAACTACGTAGTTGTTTTGGGCTTGTTTGATCAGTTCAAAGGAAGAGTTATTATAATAGCCATTATTTAGCCCCTAAAATTGCAAAAGCACAATTGTTCAGGTCAATGATTATGCTCACCAAAAAGGTTATTTTACCGAATTTAATAACTTTGAATAAGACATCTCGTAGAAGAACAGATTTTCGGGTAAAGCATTAGCGGATATCTATATATGAGTGACAATATCTCAAAGTGAGGCAGTGCTTGCAGTTCCGGAATAATTTCAAAAAGTATTAGGCCTTAATGCAAATATTTATCAAGTTAAAAAAAATAAATAGTAATATGTTGCCTACTAATTTCTTATCAACAATTGACGTATGGTATTTGATAAATTTAATTCAGAATCCAAAGGGCCATAAAAGTCGCCTTATCATAGCATCTTCCCTACAAAGCAATATATAATGGTATTAGCAATGATATAAACTTTCATGTTTTCAATTTTTATTTCCGTTATAACTCACATCAATCCGAGCAAGACTTTTAAAATATATATCGGAGAAGAAAAACCCCAACTGACCTTTATACAGATAAAATGAACTTAGTAAAAACATTTTATGTAACATTGATAAGCCCATTTTCATACACAATATAAATTAATAAACAAAAAGGATTTAGACTTATTAAAAAAAAAGAATGGATCCAAAGAAGGGTGTTGAAACTTAAGGTTAACAACACTCTTACTTGGAACCTAATCTATCATTGAGAATTTAATTCATGAACGAATGCTAATAATTACTCGTTAACATAAAGACAAAGTTCATCTTGGAGGACGAACAAAAAGCCTTAAATTGAGACTATTTACAGACAATAAGATTTTCTCAAGCGTCTGAATATTTAAACAATCGTGTGTAAAAATGGGCGACACTATGAAAATTATATCATCAAAGCAACAGTGTCAACAAGCAAAACATATTTTTACAGGTTGCATAGAATACCCTTTGTGCATGACTATTTACAGTCTATTCAATCACAGACACAAATTGAAAAAAACAATATACACAAATGTAAAAAAGTATCTGACATTTGGCAAATAACATAATGTGGTAAAATGTATTATATTAAAAGATGCAACAGTACAACTACAAGTAAAATAGTGTTTGATAAGTCTCGATTTTGCAGCATTAAATGCATTCTTCGACATTGAGCTTTTGGTATTTCAAGTCCAAAACAACAGAAATATAGATATTGTTAGACGAAAAGACTATGCATAGTACAGCAAATTATTCTGATGTTTAACGGTCAAAGTTACAATTTAGGCGTTTTGAATAACAAAAGCGATTCAACTTAACCATTTCTCTTAACAAAATTTCAAAGGATATAAATCCAATTTAAAGTTACCAGCTTCAACTTTTTTCAAATTGTTGTTTGTTTTCTCAAAGTTTTTCCAAAACGTTTGCCAAATGGTATCTATCTTTCTGAAACTGCTATCATTTTTAAATCATACTTTCGTGAAAATAATTGTTTCAAATATGTTGACTGTTAAAGATTGAAGTCATTTTCAACTAGTCTTGGTTATAACAATCAATTGATATGTTAGGTGCTGTTTGAAAATATTGCAAATTGTAGGACAAATGTCCGGTGTTTAAAATATATGGTTAGAAAAATGTGCACAATCCTAGCTATCAATATCTATTAGTAAACAACAATGTATCAAACACTAATCTAACACGTTGATAGACTCTATAGCTATTACACACGCTTCTCAAATGCCCTATAAAAATCACTCCTTAAGGATGGTCGCTGCTCTTGTTTTTGATTTTTTTGCCAGATATTCGGAATCCTCTGGTTTTATCCATGTAGTGCCATGAAAAAATTTTGCCCACTAACCCCTACTTTTCTTTTCATAATTTGATTAAATATAGTTCAAAATGCCATCTTTGAAAATCTTTTTTTTTTCATACTTTTAGACAGAAAAAAGGTGCGGATGTTAAATGTAAGAAAAATCTAGAGAGGATCATTTCCCGCCAAATTTTCAATGGTTTATATCTCGAAAACAAGCACACGGACCCTTCATTTTTATCTGCTTTTTTATTTCCTTTATTTATATTCTATCAATTCATAACAGTCTTTTAAAAAGCTTATTATTTTGAAATAGAGTAGCGAACATCCTTAAATGTTAAAAACATTAACTATTATACCAGATTAAGAATCCAAATTATTATCCTCTATTTAAGGGTAATAGTTGTATGCTCTATTGATCTTACCTACAATATCAGATTTTGAATGATATTGAAGTTAAAGAAAATGAAAGATGTAGTGTCATACCTATTATAATATGAAATGTCAGGCAAATGTATCTGATTTTACAGATTAAAGGACAAATATAGGAGTTAACAAATTACACTGTATATTGTATGTTTCTCAAGGAATAACTGTTGGTATTTACCGTGCCCGCCTCTATACTATCGATAATCATTGTAAAAGGCGTGTCATTGAAAAATAAACCTCTCGCCAGTTAAGTCATCAGTATAACAATGTGTAATAACGATAACTATTTGGTCATAAAGATACAGCATTTCTTTCCTGAGTAACTTGGTTAGGATATAAATAACCTGTAATGTTTCTTAAAGCTAGTAAATGTTTCCAACAATTATCTACCCTTAACCAACTATAGCCAACCGTTTGGTTGTAAGGATCAAAATATATCTTTTCTGAGTGATTTTACAACTGAATTTCTCAAATTACTAGGTGAGTAATAATTTAAAATTAATTTTGCAGACATTTTCTGTTAACAAAAGGAATGTTTCATGAAGTTTGTATGTTTTTCATGATATCAAGAGGTAAACATGTTATCATTAGTGTGCATAGAACTCCCAATTTTAAATACTTGACAATGACCAGGAAAACATTCATTCAGGAACTTTTTTCTTAATGCCACCTGAGAAGCGTGAATGAAGAAAAAAGTACGAAATTTCAAATAAACAGTGATTTTGTAAATGTGTAACAGTCGAGTGACACAAGGCATTGGATTACTTGTTATTGCACCCATCTAAAACACCGCTTTACCATATATCATTATATGTGTGTTCAGAAAAAACGTACGGTGCAATTTCCAACCAATAAATGGTCAAACTTAATTTTTATATACGAATAACATGAACGGTATAAATTTTACTACAAGATATAAAATGATAATACTTTGTTCTTGAATAATAATTTGATGAAGGAAAACATATAAACCAACCAGTACAAGAGACCAAATCTACCCAAAACGTACAAATGAAATCACATTTTCTAAAAAATTGCACATATGAGTTTCGACATTTTAGTTGATTCCAGATCTTTTGATAAAGCAAACGAAAGATGAAAAATAATAGAAATAACAATGATAATTAGTGAAAATAGAGAAAAAAATAATGAAATTCATTTCGTTTACTCCTGTCACAAAACAGGAAAGACAGGTGATATTCTTGTAAATTATATATATCAAACATAGTCATGTGACGGATGGGTGTAATAACGTTCTTCACTCAGAGCCTCAACGCAATCACTCAACTAAAATGATTGACATGACATGTACATTTAAAGACAACGGTGATGACTATATGTTGGAATGACTGAATTAACTACAACAGAAAAAGTGATTTCAACATGAATTGATCCAAGTATTTAAAAACACCCATTCCAGTTAACGTTATTCATTTGAATACCACATGATAAATACTTAAACATTCAAAATATTAAAGTCAAACATTCTCTGTAGTGTATGCATTGTTGATAAGGTATGACTCATTTCGCTTGTATTTGTTTCACTTACAGGGTCGAATTTAGGAAAGGGACGAATGCGTATAGTATTTGACAATTTGGTTATATTTCTAATCGGCAATTAACAATCTGCTGGTTCAAATATGAATACTAGTATTTTAATGTTAATTTTACATGTAAACAATTGCATTAAAGGACATCAAATTTTAAATGCATTTGTATGTATCTACATGAAAATGCCATTTGTTTTTGGTTTTGTTTCGGAATTTCTGTCTTTTTTTATTTGATGTATTGATATTAAGAATTAGCCCAAAATAAAATATAGCTTCATTTTTAATTATCTTTAGGCATTTGTAAATAAATAATATACTTCGAAATCGGAACTGTGTTGCATGTATATAAAACTTTAATAAGGACTTGAAGCTTAAACGGTGTATATTCTGCTAAATAAAAGACAAAAGTTTGTATTTAATCCCTTCTGTTGAATAAATTTATGGGAAATTATTACTATATTTTTAAGATTTCATTTAGTTAGATTTCGTTCATACTAAAATCTGCAGAGACTTTAAGACCAACATTACTGGTAGTCTCATTTAAAAAGTAAAAAATAAATTTTAATCATAAGACACTTAAAAAATTGCATAAGCATATACTCAGATAGAATATGTGTACCAAAAATATAATTTATAATTAAAAAGAAAACATAACAAAATTGAGAATGAAACCAGAGATCGTGGCTATTATTATAAAACGTTAACTCATAAGAACTGTTTGAAAAGATGAACAGCTGAAATGTATAGTAAATATCGTACGAAAAGTAAAACAATAGGCAACACAAATGTTGAAAAGTAAAAAAATAGGCAACACAAATGTTGAAAAGTAAAACAATAGGCAATACAAATGTTGAAAAAACACTACGAAAGTAAAGAAATAGGCAACACAAATGTTGAAAAAAAAACTACGAAAAGTAAAACAAAAGGCAACACAAATGTTGAAAAAAACACTACGAAAAGTAAAAAATAGGCAACACAAATGTTAAAAAAACACTTGGTTTTCCAATGCACACTACAGAGTATATTTTAATTATTAAGATGTACAGCAACAAAAACGAATCATGAGCCTAGTATAAAGACAGGACTCCCACCTTTTCACAAATAAAACATCCAACCTCTATGGATTGCAAAATTTTGTATTTCATTGATGAAAGCATTAAAAAGTCCCCAATACGCAAACTGCGTACGTAAACAAGAGAGTCGAAGATAAAGCTTAATCATGCCTCATTCAGATTTCATTATGTACATTAACTTTAAAATGTTTGAAAATCTTCTAAAAATATTAAAGGTTTGTTCAAGGAATTAATAAGTATTATGTTTAAGAAGTTGATTTCAAAGAAAATGACGAAAACGAAGAGGAGGGAGTCCAGTCCTAAACTATGGCCAGCAACAATGTCAAATTATTTTTTTACATGTAGGACATAAATCGATTGAGCAAAATGGAAGCCAATTGTGATAAATTTTCAAATGAATTGATTTTACTCAACTCATATCATTAATATATATGTTTAAGAAATAAGGTTAAACATCGATTTCATTGCATTTTTTCATCTATATGTTGAAAAGTATGTTTTTCCGAAAATATTTCTAATGATGAATAAGAAACCAAATTAAAAGTGCTTTCTCGAGAACAGTCAATGCTTGGTACCAAGATGAAATGAAAATGTCAAAATGCGCTCGGTGCATATAAATAGAAGTTTAAAATCTACAGCGCTTTAGTGTTTGAAAGACATACAGACGGCAGCAAATGAAGTTTGACCTTATTAAAAAAGTGTTAAGTCATTTTAAATTAAGAATGTTTGAAGTGAATTTGAGCAACATCGTTTATATTCAAGACTTGTCAATAAGAGTTCATCTCACATATCTCGTCTATAGAACCTCTATTATATGTTACACCATCATCGGACCTTGCTTTATTACTATTTGTCCTTGTCATTTCGAAATCATTTTCTTCTCTTTGAGAAGGTAAATTTGACATAGAATTCGATTCTGCAATGAAACCCATGGGAGAATATTTATGCTGTTTTTTCTTATAGGAGATTTTTCTGAGGACTGAAGTTCCATTCATATACGTTTCTAATACAACGGACCCATTTGACGGTTTTCTATCTTCAATAACAGTTGGTTCACAACCACCTTCTCCGTAACTTGGAAGCGACAATGTGTCTTGTGATCCAGAATTTTGACTTCCGTCTGAATCCGAGCCACGCGACCGGACATGAGTATAAAACAAGGTGAAATTGTTTGAAATTACGGGAATAGTTAACGCTATCATCAAAACACCAGACACAGCACAACATGCACCAACTACGTAACCATATACTGTAACTGGATAGACATCGCCATATCCGACTGTCGTCATGGTAATCAGTGCCCACCAAAATCCCATGGGAATCGTGGTGAATTTTTCACCAGGTGTCGTTAAATCCTGTAGCTCTGCATAGTAAATGATCGATGCGAAGACTAGCATTCCAATCAATAAGAAAATGGCAAGCATGAATAATTCCTGTACGCTAGCTTTCAAAGCATATATTAATATTTTTAGTGCTTGATAATGCTTTACAAGATGAAAAATCCTGAACATTCTGGCAATTCTTAGTATGAACATGATCTGAATGATAAATTGCTCATTCATATAGCACGAACGCATTTCAGATGTGCTGAAAATCAGTTGCATATACAACGGAACAAGTGCTAATAAGTCAATTATATTCATCATTGAACGAACAAAGCTTAATTTGTTTGGAGCAAATATAAATCGTACTATTAACTCTATTGTGAAGAAAACGGTACAGATCAAATCTAATTTTTCTAGTGCTGGATGTTGCGTCATAATTTGAACAAGTTGTTTTTTCTCTCCATTGCAGTCGATAGTTTCGTTGGTTTTGGTGTGGTTTTTTGTCGGTTGCAATTGTGGCAAAGTTTCTAAAGTAAACCCTAAGATCGAAGTCACTACAAAGAGTAATGATATTACTCCATATATCTGAAAGAAAAAAAATAAGTTAAATGCACTCAATGACATACATGAATAACAAATTAGAGGCAAATATAGTTTATTGATTTTGAAATATCGTAAAGTATAAAGTGGCTATATCAAAGTAAATGTTAAGTGCCAATCTGCCTAAGAATCAGGCAGTGGTGAAAACATGACTCAACTTTACAATAATTTAATTTCAGAGTGTATAATGGTGCATGAATATAACATTCGTTTCCCTTCCCTGTTCTGGTAATTCAAGATATAATTTGGTTGAAATGCAGCAGAATATGACAATCAAGGGGAGATAACTGCGTAATTTGCTATTATTCTAACCAATATGTATCTAGATATTCCTCGAATTACCAGACACGCAGAAACGAAAGACCTATCATTTCTAACTCAGGATGAGGATACCTTCAAAATAGGGTGGTTAGGTCGGTGAGTTTTTTACGGTGCTATCTTGGAGGTTTTTTTGCGAAATTCAATTTCATGCAAGAAAGCCTTCATATAAATTTGCAAGACAAAATTCTAAAATTTGAATACTGATATCGGAGAGACTTTTGTTTTAATCTATCTGAATAATAATATTTGGTATATTAATAGTGCTTTTCGACTTCTGATTTAAGAGGCAAGTAACATGTCCATCAAATTAAAGTAGAGTTTTTATTAATGTGTTTTTTTAATCAAACTCATTCACAACGATCTTAAAAAATAAAAAAAAAATTGAATTCTAGATTATTGCAATATATTACTTTCTGCAAATTCAAACGCATGACAATGTTTTAATTGCACATTTTTAAAAAGTAATGAACCGTGCTGCAAAAGCAGTTGATCAATGTAGTAAATTTAGATGACTTTTGACTATTTTAATGAAACCTTGATTATGATTTTGTTCACCAGTTCGTATTAGTATTATATCTTTGTGCTTAATGCGAAAAGAATGTGTGTACACTTTAGATTCTGAGATCGGACGGGAACGCGTCTTAATTAGAAGTGAAATGTGTCTTTGACATTTCAACCAGCTTAAATAGTGTTCAACCTACGAATAGTAGAAATCTACTGTTGTCAAGATCTAACAAACCTCACGAAGGTGCCAAACAGATAGAAGTTGACTGGAAAGAGGAAAAGAAGAAGGCTAAAAGCAACAGAGAGAAGAACAACGAAAGGGGTGATAAAGGAGATAGGGATGTCTTGGATAGAAGAAGAGAAGACAGTACAAGAAAGTATGAATATGATAACACAAATAAGTAATATCAGGCAAAATGTTTCAAGGTTCAACGTGTGTGCATGGCGTACATTTTATACTTCTATAGCATGTGTTGCGAGCATGAGAGTTGACGAATGACGAAATATGAAAGTAGTAGAATGAGATAAATTGAAATACAGTGCAGTTACAAACAGACAAACAATGTATGTAAAAGCAGACAAAAAAATAATCGAATTGCAGACATAACTTTGAGGTTCTATTTGGTAATATAGCTCTTCAATTGTTTCGGTTCTTTTACATCCTTGGCTTTCAAATATTTGGTTTTGAGCGTTCCTCATGAAGGTAAATCCAGAAAAGTGCTCCAGACGCATGAAATGTATAAAGTGTTGTTTTCTTTTCTTAAAGCAGAGACAAATTTGATAGTAAAACGATCGGTACTGCACGAATTTCAATAGACTGTTTTCATATTACCAACTTTTGACTACGAATTTTACAATTTTTCGACAGGTTACCTTTTTGTGGTTAGACATCCTGGTACGCAGTCAAGTAAGAGCAACCAAAAAAGTAAAATCTAACATATAATCGGTGTAATTTGAGGGGAAAGTCTACTAATTTCTCATGATTTTGTCGTGTATAGAAAATATTAAGCAGCTAATTTTCCCCACAAGATGTACCGATTGAAACCTTGATTTAACTCTTTTACGTTGCTCTTACTTGACTTGGTACAGGATGTCCAACCACAGTGTAGGTAACCAGTCGAAAAAATATAAACTTCGGAGTCAAAAGTCGGATATATGAAAATAGTCTATTGGAGAAAGACTAAATGCTTCGACAGTGTAAGTATTTTCTATATGCATCACCCGTCTAAGTTATTTGCATTCGTAACTGTTAAAAAGAGGAACACAACACAACAGCAATAGACATGTCTGATCAAAGGCACATTTGAAGTAAAATTTTTACAACCTAAGAAACCGTAACAATCAACCAATTTGTTATTGTCACCATACAGATCTTGCATAATGATAATTTATTTTTTTCCGACCCAGTATTGTTGAAGAGGGTTTTGAGATAAGAGTTTGTCAAAGTATGAAACGTTACAAATTGTAGAATCTCATGGCCTAGGGTAGTTGGTATATAATTACTAAAAAAAAATTGATGTTTAGAAAATGAAAACTGAATCATCCTGTTTTTCAGGAGGTTTTGCCTTTTACTGCCTGTAGAATCTATTTAATGAAAAGGTTCCATATAGATATACGAAGCACACATGCTTGTCTCTGTAATAATTATCGTTATTTGTGTAGTCACTGGGATACATCATAATGCACCTTTAAATGAACATCAGCTACGATTTAGACAAAAAAAATAATATCTGATTCTTTTGTTTCAATTATCAATATAAGTTGCATTTTGAAATAATATTTCGTTAAAGGCGGTTAGTTAGGTCCACACTTGTTAAAATTAGCTCAAAACATCGCTGATGTATTATTGACTAGCAAATCAATGATTCAATCTCAGTTGAATCCGTATTCATGTTACTTTTAATTTAATCTCTGGAGATCGGTTACGCAGGCGTGCTCAGCTATTAAAAGGAAAAGAAGGTAAACATTGAAAGTGAAACAATGATGAACCATTTCGTTGACTTATTTGATCCACAAAAAATCATTTTAATACAGATAGAAACGATGATTAGCATAGTTTTTTAAACCTATAAAATGAAATCAAACAGACCTAGAAAAATCCATTTGCACGTGCTTGCTATCTATTAATATTTGTTTTTATGTTAATATCGGATTTTTTTACCGTCAGAAGTTTTCGGAGGTCATCTCGATGGTTAATCGGATAGCTAGATATCTAGACCAAAAACGCTGATACGTATTATTGAGTTCAAACATTGTAAATTGTTTAGTTAAGAGTCAAATCATTGAACATAAATTTGACAGCTAATGCCCCTCTAAACAGAAGGAAAGGTCATTATTAATTATCTGAAGCTGAAAATACATGATTTTCTTGGATTTGTTCTACTTGCATTTCAGATTTGTTTATTCAATTGATTCTAATTTATATGGATATAACAACCGATCCAATAGCAGCGGAGTACTTCTGCAGCCTGACTGTTTTATAATATAAATTTACAATCTATAAATATGTTTTCAAACTCTTCATGTGTATTTGTTATTGGAATCACTGTGAGTTTTATCATACATACACGGCTATCTGCGTTTACGATTATAAGAAAGGACGCACTTCTTAAGAAGATAAAGAAATTTTCAATTAAGAATTTATTGGTGTAAAGTGTATATTCTTATTTTCTTATTTTCCAGGATGCTCAGCCTTAAGAGACCTGACTGTCATAACTTTCGCACGAAAGGGTAAAAATGACTGTTTACATCCATTAAGATGTAGTTGTTTATAGCTGGTGTATTTTGTTTTAAAATGCAGACAACCCCAGTTGGAACAGAAAGAATCGGACAAGTGTAGAGACATTTAACTTACCATTGCCTTCCGCGACGTCCTTGGATGTTCTAAAATTAACCATACTTTCATTTGAAATCTTCTCCATCCTTCGTAATCATCAAGATTTATATATATTTGCTCTTTCTTTAAGCTTTTGTTAAAAGAGTCCAGGATTCTTTTGTTTTCTATGTAGGATCTGTAATGCCGCCAGCAGCATGATTTGATATGCAGTTCACTTATTTGCCAGAAGTCTAACTCCCTCTTTACCACTGCTCCACATACTTCGAGCGGAACATGCAGCTCACCTAGAAAAAAAACAAATGTGTTATCAATGAAATATTATGCTAAAATATTGGGAAATAATATAGAAATGCATTCTATAAGTAGTATCTATGTTCTCTATCACTGATTCACGTAACTAGCCAATCTTTATTTTGCATGTGACTATAACTAACCTATCAATTTATACGTACGGCTTTCAATAACCTAAAAATTAGACTATTTTTCAAATGATGGTGGTTAAGTTTCGTTCTGTTTCCCGATTCACTTCTAATGAGAATGAAAAACATGATAAATACAAAAAAAAAAATCCTCAAAGGTAATCATTTTTAACACACCCTACACAATAAAGCTATTTCATGAGAAAGAATCGTTCTACTAGTATGAATAGTTCGCTTCGATGGTCCAAATGACACATGGTAGAAAAATATGTGTTGATACCAGATACCACATTCTAAGGAAAATTTTACAAGTGACCAGGACCGTACAGCTGATTTAATTAAACATACCAAATCGGGAATTTTCAATGTCTCAAAAGCATCATTAAAATTTAAAATATTGTTATGTTACGATTCAAATCATTGTTTATAAAGATTGGTATAATTTTAATAAAATATTACAAGTTTATAACATTTACATGATCAAATTGAAAATAAAATTAACCATTTGTAATGAAACATGCATAACAACAAGACAATTTGAAAAATGGATCTTATAAAATTTTCAAAAGCAGTTTCCATGCATGTTGACATGTGAAATTTCGAAAATAAAATTACAGCATAGAAAAATTAACAAAGGGTATATGATATAGACAAAAAAAAAACGCTGCAAGAAGAAAATATCTTTTAATAACCTTAATAAACAATGACTTTGATCGTTTGAACATATATTTGTACCTAATAAGGCACGATTCGAAAGATTTTCAAAATATGAACGAAATTATTGATACTTTAATTTCGTTAAGTAACACAATGTGAATTTCTAAGGGAAAGGATTCATAAAAGGTCTAATATCATTCACTACTGGAACAGTGATATTGTGCGAAGGAATTAGTAAGTTAGTTCTAAATGTGAATACACAAATGTTCATCTCATCTTCCATCAAACCAACTTACTTATCTTTCAGCTCCAATATACATTTTGATTTTTACTGAAATCGATTTAAAATCTAAAAAGAGTGACAAAATTACACATTAAACTGTGAGATATAATTTCTGATAGTGAGGCACTGTGAAAATAACAAGTATAGAAGCAGAACATGCTCAGAAGAACATAAACTTACCGTTTTCTTTCGATCTTTCTTCTGTTTGAAAGATCCAAACAATTATTAAAAAGAATAATAAAGCATCAAATGGACCATTCACTGGTGAGGTAAGGCAAATAGAATGAAATACGTGTACTGTTGATAAACTTGTCCCATGGTATTAACGATATTTAAATAATGCCTTTTTAACGACTTCAAGTCTCAGACTATGTACTAAGATCATTTTATACTTTACTAACCTGAAATAGCATAATGCAGAACCAAAGATCATATGATGTCAATTAAAAGGACATTATTCTGTATATTCATGCTTACAGTTACAAACGAAATGTTATAAATAAAAGACTGCTACATACTATTGCTCTTTTGCTTTGAAATTCATTCTAGAGAATTTTCATTTACCTGTGTATAATATGACGCGTGTTTTTTTCAAAAGTGATGATTTTCTAAATATTGTTTAACATTTCACAATGGTATCATACTTTAACTTTGTTTCAACCTGTTTATTTACTTTTGACCTTAGTTATTTATCCCTTATAATTTTTATTAACTATGTATTTGCATTCAGGTATCACAGATCAAAGTTATTCTTTCATTGTGTGTTAATTTACGTTTTTTGATTGAGTTAAGCCTTCCAATTGATATTTTATAGTGTGTCTTTCTATGTTGTGATGTTATACTATTGTTTCAGAAAAAGGGAGAAGGTTTGGTACCATTAAAACGTTTAATCCCGCTGCAAATGTTTGCACCTGTCCTAAGTCAGGAATCTGATGTACAGTAGTTGTCGTCTGTTTATGTAGTTCATACGTGTTTCTCGTTTCTCGTTTTTATATAGATTAGACCGTTAGATTTCCCGTTTGAATGGTTTTACACTAGTAATTTTTGGGGCCCTGTATAGCTTGCTGTTCGGTGTGAGCCAATGCTCCGTGTTGAAGGCCGTACCTTGACCTATAATGGTTTACTTTTATAAATTGTTACTTGGATGGAGAGTTGTCTCATTGGCACTCATACCACATCTTCCTATATCTATATACAATACACATTCAAGGAATTACTTCTAAAGGTGTAGCTCTTATCGCAAATTTGACCTGAATTTATTTTTCACACGAGAACTATTTACAAAAAGTCTTTCAATTTTTACTTTAATTCATAGTATCACAATTAAATGTGAGTTCTTTGAGGTTCCAACAATATATCATGCAATGACTCACCTCTTAACAGACAACAACATTACAAAAGTTTTAAAAGAAGCTCTAAAAACTGCAACGTTAATCAATTTTCGGAAATTTTATCCCAAAATACTTCAAAACGTAAGAGATGGACATTAAACCAAAATTATTTTGAAGATAAAAATATACATTGTATTTTATATACACTTAAATATTGGGTATAAATGTCTTTCGTCGCGAAATATCCAAAATATGTAAAATTTGCAACTTTTATGTCAAAATGTATCAGCAAAGTGAAGTACTGGATAACATTTTGATTTATTGAATATATAAAATTATTCAACTTTTTCTAAGGTTAAACGATCCTAACTATTTAATATTTGAATTCCAGTACGATTTGACAACTTTAAGATTTTAGTTTGTGAATGAACCAAAAACAGGGTAAATTGGCACTACCTCTTTCCAATTTGCAAATCTTAATAGTAAAGATTTTTAATTATATTTAAAACATCAAACTGAAAACCATTTCAATAATGAATGTCATATACCATATCTTCACACTTTTAGAAATAGGCTGAACACATCAAATGAATGTCTTTAAAATAAAGTTCTTTTGAGATATGTTGATCAGAATTTTTAAACTTACAGTGAATAGATGTTTGTTTTAAAAGCTAAATTCAGAAGAAAGGAAAATACCGTTAAAAGTTATGTCCGATTAAAAAAGAATCATTAGAAAAATCTTGACATTGGGTCCAGTTACAGATCAGCATGATAGCATTATCATTCAAAGAAAAAAGCTAATCATTAGCAATTATTAGACTTAAAAACCAAGGCAGAAGCATGATATATATTGCAAGGATCAACCATTTTCGTTTGGTCAAAGCACAGATGCATTAAAGTACATAGATTTTGTCAGGAAACAACAACCTGTTCTTGTCACTCAACACGAAAACCCACTTGCTTTTAAATTACATGGTGCTTGTTCCTGCCGACAAATTAAGTCATTGTATTCAAAGATAATTTCAATTACTGCTTGACACAAAATGAGATACCGACAATCCACATGACTGACATGTCAATAAAACTTAAACATGAGAAGTACTAAACGATCACATGTCTTTTGTTTTAGCCAATGGCGATTAACCGTATCATAATTCCCCAAAAATATTAAATTGAGCTTTTAAACAGATGGACTATCGAAAAGCGAAATGATGCACATATCATTAAAATATTTTTTGAAATTGAGGCTCAGTAAATGTTGTTGACAATTCTTGTTATGTCTGCACGTATTCAGTACTTATCCATCATTTGCTTTAATTGTTTTTAGTTAGAGCGTTCTAGATGAAGAGAAATATAGAAAAGTGCATAAGAAGCATACATATTTTAGGGATTTAATACCAACCCCCTTAATATATAAGACCATTTGTTTGATATGTCTGAGTTTTTGATTTTGCCATTTGATAAAACAATTTCCGTTTTGATTTTTCCTTGGAGTTCGGATTTTTTGTTATTTTACTTTTTACCAGGTTAGCAATACATAATTATTTCGTGGAAAATATACCACCATTTTAATCAAAGAAAAACAGTCCCCATTCTTTTCCTTTCACGGATAAATTTATGTCTTATCTAAAAAATAAAAAAACAGAATGCATATCTGATAAAAAAAAGGAAAATTGTTACAGAAAAACTGGCCTTCCAACTTTTTTTATTCGAGCGCCCCTGATGAGTTTTATGTAGATGAAACACCTGTCTGGCGTACAAACTGTATAAGCCTTATATCTTTGACGAGGATTTCCACATGGGAAGCAAATTGAAAAAAAAGGAAGAAGAGCTGATAGAAATATATCAGATCAATGAAGATATCTTCAGCTTTTCTATTGTTATTTTGCCCGTTTAATATAATACTTTATAGCACACATCTCCCCTTTGTATATTTCTGGTTTACGTTTATTGCCAACAAGAAAATCTAAGATTTCTGGTAATTAAGATTTTATCATCAACAATTTATGGTCGTTTTTCGAGCAGTTTTGCCACTACAGAATATCTATGTGACAGATACATGAGATAAATCATGGCTCTTCTTTGGTGCATTTAAGATCTCCATGTTTTAATAGTTTTAAAATGTGCATACGTTGTAAAATCAGATGTATACTTCTATCTAACAGACGAATTTAAGTGCAATATAGCAATTAAACCAATAGAGAATAATTGCATGCAAGGCTATCATTTCCCTAAAACAAGTTTTAAAACGTTCATATTTAATTAAAACAAGTGGAAATATCAATCCATTCAGGTACACGATACACTTTTAAGAGTGCACTCGAATCAAGGGACTCGGCATGAGGTTTGATTGGACTACAAAGACAGAAAAGTACTTTTCGCAAACAATAAATGGTAGAATAACATGAACAAGTAAGTGAATAATCTACATCAAAAATTTTGAAACAAAAAATTGATGTGATGACTTCAATTAGTTTTCTGATAAATTCTTGTCAGGAGTTGCCACAAAGTCACAATTTTCCATTTAAAACAAAGAAATAATAGATATCATTGATTTCAAAGATAATTCTTCTTAGTATATGTACAATATGACA